CCAACTCATGACAATCATCCACGACATGAATATCGGCGAGTGTTCGACAGTCACTGAGTTTAGATTCACAACCAATTCATTCAATCTCTTCAGTTGCTTAAGGTTTTCGGCTTTCATTAGAAGGCATTCGATGTCCTTCTCTTGACATTCATATATCCATTTCAAGTCCAAACTCTCGACGATCACCAGTGACTGCAAGAAACCGATGAATTTGAACACTTCTTCGCCGATGTGCTCGCAATCACTTCTACTGAAGTGTTTGAACTTTAAGCCGAAGCCGTTGGACTCAAAAAGTGATAACAACTCTATAATGTTGTCCATCGATGTCTCAAATCCTTTAATATACAAGAGTAACAGCTCTAACAGTTCCATCTGTTCTCTTAGATTGTGGTGAAGATGTTCTTTGGCCAGAGATTCACTAAAATATGGTCCGTTTGACAGTTTGGACGGCAGAGGACTGTCGTTGAGGTGAACCAATTGCTTAACCAGTTTGCGATACAACTGGTCATTGATTGTCTCCAGAAATGTGTGGAAAATCTTCTGATAGACGTGTTGTGAAGACTGCTTCCAATGACTGAGGATTTGCTTCAAACAAAACAAACTGAAGAGTCGTTCGCTATAATAATATTCATTCAAATCGTGTAAAAGTCTTCGGCTCTGCTTCTCATTGGAGAACAACTGCTTCACCGAATCGGGAGTTCCTTTGAATTCATACAAGAGATACGAATTAAACAATTCGTTGCAATCGTTGGCACTTAAGTCCAACAGAAGACTTGTTTTGGACAACAGTTCCGGAGGAAACACAGACACCGACGAAGACTTCTTGAGCTCATTCAACGAGTCGGTCACCGGATTATGTTTGCGATAATATAGTAATCCATTCGCCAATTGGTTGCGACTTTTGTCCAACTCTTGAGCGATGAACTCTTCGGTCTTCAGTGATAGAGATCCCGACAGAAGAGTAAACAATGTCTTCATTGATCTGTTAAGTGATAATCAATAAAAAGACAATCAAATCAATCAATTCATACAATTTATTTGTGTAATAAATACAAAAATATTGCATACCTGGGCTCATCCATTACATCAGGTGGTGATCCGTTTGTCGACATTGTTTTCGGTGATAATCTGAAGACTGTTGATGACTATATACAGTCTATTCACTCATTTAACCACAAAGTGATTGCATTTGAAAATCAAATGATTTTTTTCGTCACATGTTTGCCAACAGTATTCATAAATTGTGTCCAAAAGTCAAACACTAATAGACGTCAGCATTGATTGAAAGCAATAAATATTTAGACAAAAGAGGCGTTATTTCAGTTGAGTTTACGTTACTTTTACGCCCTTTTCGGTGAATTACATAATGTTTTCATTTGCCAAACAAAACCCAAATATTGTAAACAAAACGTTTTGATTGTCAAGTGATCTATGATTGTAATCAAGTCTTGCAGCGAATCCACTCATCAATTGGACGCCAATTATCTTCGCGAAGATGTCAACTGAATGTCTGACTGACGCCGAGTGCGAGAAACTCTTGGAAACGATGACCAAAAGCGGTGGACAAGACTTGGCGGCCAATCACATGAAGCAACTCAAGACTTATTGCCGTCAAAGCGATGGTAACATCGATCGGGTCTTTCGCCAACTGTTCAACGCGTTGGTCGCAAATCACTCGCAAATCCGTGTCTCAGCGATGATGATAGTGTCGGAGCTGTTCCAGAGGTCGCACCGCTTTCGGCTGCAAGTGATTGAGAATATGAACCAATTGTTTGAATTGTGTCTCGAATTGAATCCAAACCGAAATCGCAATTACTGCTAATGTGAATGAGTCTGTAATTTACTAATCAATTCTCTCTTTCTTTTCATTTGTGACAGAATTTCGATTTTCACGTTATTTTGCGAGAAGTGAGTCGTGAAAGCAAAGTATTGGTGCAAAAATCGTTTATATCCTACAGCTATAATATATTGCATTACAATAAGAGTCAACAGAATATTAATGCTAAGAAATAATACATTTGTATATGTAATAAAATGTTTGAATTATAACTTATTTAATGTGTATATTATAGTAGTTGGCAACTGTTTTCTATTATTGTGAGAAATTAAATAAGAAAAGAATTTAATATATAAATATTCAATATATCCATTGAATATGCAATGAATAAAGTGAATGCAATTCTCGTCTCTATTCTGTACCACAATATAATGACAATGACTTCGATTCCATTGGACCCACAATTCTCTTATAGTCTTATTCTCTGTTTGATTATTGATTTTAAGAGCACTACTGCTAATCAAATGATTAAATTATATCATACATTATATCAAATAAATATTGATTCAAATTCATGCGATCGCAATTGTAATTATTCTCGACTTAAAAATTAGCTTAAAATTAATGGTAATGAAAATGAGGCGAAAAAGGAGTTAAACTAATGTTTTAAACACTGATTTTTAAGTGATTCTCGCAGTAATTATTCGCCAAATAATTATGATTTATAGCGTCAATAAATTTAATATACAGTTAATAATGCATCAAAAACTTTTTAATAACTTAAATGTGTTGCCAGTGTCTGGGCTCTGGAATTGATTTGGAAATAAAATTTTATTAAATATCATTAAAGTTATTGAATTACTTCTCATATCCTATGATACCATAAGAAGGGGACGTGTTTTGGCAGTGAAAGTGTATTAATAAAGTAAGAAATTGTTTGAGATTTAGCTTATATAGTACTCTAATGTCTCGCATAAATCCTATTTATTGAACAGTCGACTCTAAAATAAATAATACCGTAAAATATTTTGTTTATTTTCAAAAATGTTTTGAATTTATTTGATTGTGAAAGAGGATACGACTGTAATAACTGTTGAGTTTATAATTATATCGATAAACGCTTTCAATAATAAAACCTTTTACAAGTATTATATGAAATAATATTATATATGGTATTATCCTAAATTATATATTTACATTAAAACATTTCAACACAAACGGAATATTAAAAGCAAATGCCTTCCGAAGCGTGTATTATTATCCTGACATTTTTAAAAACTCTAATAAATTGTGTTAAAACTGTATTATAAGTATAGATACATTTTTGTAATTTATATAAAGACACTATAATAAAAAGTGTCCAAATTCTCGAATATTCTTGACATTAGATTAGATTATTCGTTAGATTATTAGTCTTCAGGTTATGAGATATTTTGAATACTGTATGAAATAGTTCTGCGAATAACTAGAGGACATTGAAAGTACTTAAGACTGTTGTTGAGTACTATTTATTATGATATGTTTTCAGTTTAATTTAGTTAAGTAAGGAATAAATTGACATAAGAATGATAAGTATTATTAAGAGAAATACGTGATTCACTTACAATATGTGTCTTTTGTAAGTTTCTGTACCACTTCTGTGTTAAGTTTGCTATTCTTTTTGCCCATTTCTCGGATATATATTATTCTTATATATATTCTTCAAACAGATGAGTCGATCACGAATTCAAATGTCGCGACAAATGAACACAAACGTAGAGCTATTGATATGAATTTTAAGTGATATAACTGTATAGCACATACAAAAAATGAAGTTTTTTCACAAACTATTATGTTGTCACACAGAAAGCTAATTCCAACACAATTTCATTGTATAGATTCACTTCATAAATGAGAGATAAACTTAAAAAATTGTTGACAAATATGTAAATATAATATAAGTATGAGAGAATTGATTAACAAATTTATCTAATTATAATTCACCGCGATAACAAACAAAAGCTTAATATTCACGTGGCATTCAACCCCCATATTCTGTATGTCAAACTTCTATCGCAACTCAGTTCACAAATCACTTCAAAAGTAAATATTTCCAATGAATTGCAACTATTTTCTCAGTGATCTTTTTAATAGATTAAAACCATTTTCATAAACAGAATCTCACTGTTGAAAAATAAAAACTATGACATAAAACAGAATCCAATCTAAAGTTGTCTTTTCATACGGAATCCAATGCTTTTATATATGAATTGATTTGTTGATAGTGTCTCTGCTTCTCATACAGAATCTGCTTTCGAAACTAATTCTTATAGCGAATGCAACTAAACTGTAGGCACAACAGGCGTTGGATGCACTGTATGTGCGGCGGATACACAGAATATCTGCGCTCTGGTATGACATCTCTTGATACTATAGTATGATTTTATCTGATAGTATCACAAGTTTGAAGAATTATTGATTTTTGTAGATAAAGTATTTCATATTTTTAGAAAATATATTTCATCAAATAGTAGTGCAAATGCACTGCAATGCCCTGAACATAAGTTATTAAATATATATATGTTATATAATACAACCCAATCATCAAACAACATAAAAATTAATACAATTACCAAATAATTCTGGATTGGAATGGATCCCAAATCCATAATTCTTAAGATACCGTTCAATCCATAGATTCATTTATTTCTTAGTCATTGTTTTAATTATTTGTTATTATTTATTACTTTAGTTTATTAGTTATAAAACTCTCATTTATTATAATAATTATTGTATAGACTCACAGTTAGACTAAAGGTCTATTCTAAATATACAGGTACTGTATGACTAGACATGAGAACATTTCAATTAATAAAATCTATCAAATTATTAATTAAGGTAATCAATGTTAAAAAATCACTTTATTTGCTTTTAATATTGAATAAGTAACGAATATATTTTATTTATAGATAACCTTTTCATTAATTTTGCAATCGATTATAAAATATATACAAAAAAATTATATTAACCGGTATTTTAAATATACTAATAGAAAGAATTTAAAAATTATAATAAATGTTATAATAAATAAACTGTTAACCAATAATATCACAATGAAAACACACAATTTAGTGTCCAATAACCCAATGAAATCAGTTTTGTAAGGAGTAATTCCACTGGTCTTCAAAGTGTGTCTGATTCCTACTCTGAATGTCATCCAAGTCCTTCCCAACCCTCTCTCGGACTCCTTTGTTAAATATTCTGCGTTCGAGTCGTTTGCGTGGATTGTCTGACGGCTTCTTAATGTCTTGCAATTTGGGATATTTTTTCAGACGCTTTCGACTGGAATTGAGTGTCAAATCAATTCCCGTCCCGGCCTTCAGTTCCCTCAAGAGCTTCGGATTCTGCCATTCAGGCAATTCGTTCGCTATTCTTATGGCTTCCCTTTGGCGGTCGTCTTCAGCTATTGGATCGCCATTAGAGTCGCGCTCAACAATCACTCCATGAAAGGGACACTTCTGGGCGTCTCTTCGCGGACACAGCTTTCCCGATGGAAGTCTTGCGTTGCATTGCAATCCATTCATTCTTCAGCTATTGGATCGCCATTAGAGTCGCGCTCAACAATCACTCCATGAAAGGGACACTTCTGGGCGTCTCTTCGCGGACACAGCTTTCCCGATGGAAGTCTTGCGTTGCATTGCAATCCATTCAATGTCTCACTCTGTGGTTCCGTCGATGATGTCTGAGATGCTTCACCACAAGAACTGCTGGCGTTGGAAGTGGAGGGCATGCTATGATCTAATGGCTCTAAACCGTATTCGTGGCGCAGATGCTCAGGAATAATGAGTTCCAGACCTTCCTTTTCAGGCACTTCCTCGAAGTCATCATCAGAATCATCGTTATTAGTATTGTCTGTTCTGTGGTTTACATCTAATTCTTCGGACGGTTTAATGATTTTTAATTCAATAAACTTTTGACTAATGCTTTCAATTCTACACTTCAGATCAATGGCTTTCTTGAGGTCGGATTCGCACAAATGGTATCCTTTGGACATCACAACAATCAGTCGTTTGAGTCGATTCTCAAGAATTTTAGACAACTCTGAGTGTAGTTCTCGAAGATTACAAATGATTGGATTCGTGTCCTCGTTGTCCACGATCTCCACAAACGGTTGGATCAGAATATCGACTGAGAAGTCATTCAAATGTCGGACACGACCTGAATATTCATCGGAAGCACTATTGTCTTGAGTGGTGTCCAAGACTCGTGGCATTAAGAGCTCAAAACATGAGTTGATTTGTTTGGAAAGAGACACCACTTCTTCAGCCAATTGTCTGAACTCTTCCACACATTTCTCAACCTTTAATTTCAAGACATTCTCACGTCTTCTGATCTCTTCGTCGGCTCTCTGTCTCTGCACTCTATTCTGAACCACTCTTTCATTCAAATCCATGAGTCGATTATCTTTCAAGTACTTCACGGCTGACCTCAACTCTTCATAGCCGTCGCCAAACTCTTGCGACCACTTCTCGAGACAATCGATCGTCAATTGCTTGAGTCGATCGGCGAATGTCTTCGGTTTCGGGAGCTTTCGGTTTGGATTCAATTCGAGACACAATTCAAACAATTGGTTCATATTCTCAATCACTTGCAGCCGAAAGCGGTGCGACCTCTGGAACAGCTCCGACACTATCATCATCGCTGAGACACGGATTTTAAATCCGTGTCTCAGCGATGATGATAGTGTCGGAGCTGTTCCAGAGGTCGCACCGCTTTCGGCTGCAAGTGATTGAGAATATGAACCAATTGTTTGAATTGTGTCTCGAATTGAATCCAAACCGAAAACTCCCGAAACCGAAGACATTCGCCGATCGACTCAAGCAATTGACGATCGATTGTCTCGAGAAGTGGTCGCAAGAGTTTGGCGACGGCTATGAGGAGTTGAGGTCAGCCGTGAAGTACTTGAAAGATAATCGACTCATGGATTTGAATGAAAGAGTGGTTCAGAATAGAGTGCAGAGACAGAGAGCCGACGAAGAGATCAGACGACGTGAGAATGTCTTGAAATTAAAGGTTGAGAAATGTGTGGAAGAGTTCAGACAATTGGCTGAAGAAGTGGTGTCTCTTTCCAAACAAATCAACTCATGTTTTGAGCTCTTAATGCCACGAGTCGTGGACACGACTCAAGACAATAGTGTTTCCGATGAATATTCAGATCGTGTCCGACATTTGAATGACTTCTCAGTCGATATTCTGATCCAACCGTTTGTGGAGATCGTGGACAATGAAGACACGAATCCAATCATTTGTAATCTTCGAGAACTACACTCAGAGTTGTCTAAAATTCTTGAGAATCGACTCAAACGACTGATTGTTGTGATGTCCAAAGGATACAATTTGTGCGAATCCGACCTCAAGAAAGCCATTGATCTGAAGTGTAGGATTGAAAGCATTAGTCAAAAGTTTATTGAATTAAAAATCATTAAACCGTCCGAAGAATTAGATGTAAACCACGGAACAGACAATACTAATAACGATGATTCTGATGATGACTTCGAGGAAGTGCCCGAAAAGGAAGGTCTGGAACTCATTATTCCTGAGCATCTGCGCCACGAATACGGTTTAGAGCCATTAGATCATAGCATGCCTTCCACTTCCAACGCCAGCAGTTCTTGTGGTGAAGCATCTCAGACATCATCGACGGAACCACAGAGTGAGACATTGAATGGATTGCAATGCAACGCAAGACTTCCATCGGGAAAGCTGTGTCCGCGAAGAGACGCCCAGAAGTGTCCCTTTCATGGAGTGATTGTTGAGCGCGACTCTAATGGCGATCCAATAGCTGAAGAAGACCGCCGAAGGGAAGCCATAAGAATAGCGAACGAATTGCCCGAATGGCAGAATCCGAAGCTCTTGAGGGAACTGAAGGCCGGGACGGGAATCGATTTGACACTCAATTCCAGTCGAAAGCGTCTGAAAAAATATCCCAAATTGCAAGACATTAAGAAGCCGTCAGACAATCCACGCAAACGACTCGAACGCAAAATATTTAACAAAGGAGTCCGAGAGAGGGTTGAGAAGGACTTGAATGACATTCAGAGTAGGAATCAGACACACTTTGAAGACCAGTGGAACTATTCCTTACAAAACTGATTTCATTGAGTTTTTGGACACCAAATTGTGATATTATTGGTTAACAGTTTATTTATTATAACATTTATTATAATTATTAAATTCTTTCTATTATTATATTTAAAATACCGGTAAATATATATTTTTTGTATATATTTTATAATCGTTTGCAAAATTAATGAAAAGGTTATCTATAAATAAAATATATTCGTTACTTATTCGATATTAAAAGCAAATAAAATGATTTTTTAACATTGATTACCTTAATTAATAATTTGATAGATTTTATTAATTGAAATGTTCTCATGTCTAGTCATACAGTACCTGTATATTTAGAATAGACCTTTAGTCTAACTGTGAGTCTATAC